GCGGGCGAGCAGCAGAAAGGCTGGGCGGATGATCCCTGCCCCTCTCTAGCTGTCCCGAAGAGCCCCTCTAGGGCAGCGCTGCCTGGTGCCATTGGACGGCCCCAGGGGGCACAGCTGGACTCCGCCCAGCACCGAGGCGAGGCCGGTCGAGGCGGCCGGGGAAACGCACTGTGATTCCTCCAGATGATGGGCAGCACAGGAAGGGGAGACAAGATCATCTCCATGCGGGTTCCTGTGGCCACAGCCATGTGACTTGCCTGCGAGAGTCATTTCCCTCCCCTGGGGCACTCTGCTTCGCCTGGAACAGATCTGCTGCGTTATAAGCCCTCGGGCTGCCCTCCGGCAAAGCCAGGCACGTCTCTGCCTGCCACAGGTGGAGGACAGGCACTGGTCTGGTTTTTAAATGGGGGATTGCTTTGAGGAGCAATAGGCAGTAGGGATGTTAATGGTTAACTAGTTAAGCAGTTACTGTTCACCAGCAGGGGCAGGAGCAGCCTCCTGCCCACTGAGGACAATGTACATTTTCAGGGGTTAACTAATCAAATGGGATTTTACGTCCCTGCTAGGCAGAGCCATCCTGAGGTGTGTAGGGCTGATTACAGGGACTCAGGCCTGCAGCCTGCTCCAACTCCAAGACCCAGCTGAACGCTGCCCGGTCCGACAGACCACATGCGGCGAGATCGCGCTCAGACTCGGACAGCAGCTGGTGTTTCTGTAAAGCCCCAGTTCCTGGAGCTAAACTTTCATTTTATTAAAAAAACAAACCCAAAAAGCCCTAGCCCTTCGGTGGGGGAGGAAAAAAGCTTGAAAGTGTCAAGTCATCCAAACCAGGAAAGAAACCAACAGAACGCAGCATGTGTTAGGGTTACCAATCTCTTGATTTTCAAGCTCCTTTCACAATTTCTTGGGCGCAAGTGGTGTGTTCTGAATAGTGATGTAAGCGATTAGTCGAGTCACTACTCAACCAGACGCTTCCCCCTGCTCCTTGCTGCCTCTAATACAGAGGGAGGCGGGGGGGAGCCGGCTTAAAAGCCAGTCCCCCACAGCACCATCTCTGCAGGGGGGGAGAGGGGAGCAAGGGAGGCAGAGGAGCAGTGGGGGAGCCAGTGCGAGCCTGGCAGCTCTTACTACATTTAAAAGGCAGAGCCACAGCAAACCCCCTTATCAACTTATCGAACCGTCAATTAGCTTACTAACTGCTATTTAACACCCCTAGTTCTAAACCCTCCGGGCTGGCAAAACTGGAGGTTGTCAAGCCAAAAAACTGCAGGTTGTTCCAACTGCCTTTCCCTGGGTTACACCCAAGCTTATGAAGAGGATTCTGACACTCCACACTGAACTACCTTTGACCTTTTTCTCTGCTCAGTCAATACAAGATCAGCTGTTTCCACTTCTGCTTAGAGTCAATTTCACTTTTGATCCTAGTCAGTTTCACTTTCAAGCACCAGGCGGCTGACCTTGCAGGTGCCTCCTGGGAAGGCTGCTGGTTTCTAAATCCCTCCTTCCCTTGGAAGGAGTTTTTCTAACCTCGCAGAAATATTTCTACGGCTCTTAGGTTTGGTAGAAAGGTTTCAGTGGGATTTTAAACACAGACTCTACATTTTGGACCAAATTTGACCAAACACTGTTTCTTTCCTGTCATTGTCCTCCTTAGATCAATTGTTTCTATGATTTTCCCACGCATCTGGGACTGGCTCATCTCCTCAGCTTCCTCCCCATCCCTGTCTATTGTTTTCCCCTTCCAGGGTCTTATATGGCTTGTTTGCTCTTCTCCCGTGTCTGCCCTTTCCTTCCCCCTGAAGCCCTCTCTCTCAGGCCCGAACTGCAGGCCGAGGTCTCTAGACCACACAGTGCTGCAGGAAGAAGCAACCTACGGAGCAAATCTACATCAGCAAGGACTGTCTGCGCCCGAGGGACACTCGCTCCTGCCACCCGGGCAGGCTCCGCAGAGAAAGCCACCAGGGTTTTGCCTGCCCTGACTAGTTTGTTCCATTCGAACGATGCCTTCAGCTGGTTCAGAGCACTTCCAGTTTGCCAGTCCTCATTCCACATGCTCAGGTACCACCCCCTCCACCCTGCCCTGAGACACCCTGGCTGGCCCAGCGGCGTTACCTCGATCACGCGGTTGCTGCGGATTTTCTCCTCCAGCTCAGCAAATGATTTGGAGAAAAATGGCGGCCTCCCGAACAGCGCCTCTGGGAGGTGGAAGAAACATGGCGGGGGAGGCCTTCCGTACAGGATGCGGGGAGCGGCGGCTGCCTCATTCAGCACAGATATGCAGCTCAGACTTGGGGGCATCTGGTGAAGGGAGATGGAGTGATCCCCTCCCCCACCCCAAGTTCTGAAGACTCCCCAAGGCTGTTTCTAATGGAAGGGCTCGTACAATGACCTTAGGTGGTCTTTGTTGTGAGGGTGGGGGGGGGGTGTAAAAATCAATAGGTTTGGAATTGCCTTTTTGCATTGGAGGTTAAGAATTCAGCCACAGCAGGCACTGCCCTTGGACTTGTTTTTTCCTTTTGTTTTGTAGTTTGGGATGATAGGGTCTGGTTGAGACCAGTATTATGTTTTGATATATATAACCTTGCTCTCTATCTGTTCTGTAGCCTAGGAAACCAGATAAGTACGGGGCTGCTCTACCTTGTTGTGTCTCTAGCTTATCCTCATGGGATCTGCATAACATCTTTAGGGTCAACTTCCTTGTAATCTCTGTGATTTGTTAGTTTGCAGTAGAAAAGTGTTGATTCAATTAGAAATTCTGTAAATAGTAATTAGGGATGGGTATAATTGTATTCATTATTTGCTTATTAATATTCAATTCATGGGAGTTAACATTACTAAATAAGGCTTTAGGAAAAGTAGTGCTAGACACGTGACTTAACGTACTAAAATAGATAAAAGATTCTGACTACTGCCAGGTTGTTGACAGTCGGACATTGTGTTGAATGTCCGAGGGAAACGTGTGTAGGTTGTCTCTTTTACCCCATCCGCTCCTGGGTCTCCTGTTTCTTCTCTAACAGTCTTATAGTTCAGCCACTGGACTGGGTCTCTATAGTTCAGCCACTGGACTGGGTCTAAAGTCCTGGTCTACACTAGGACTTTATTTCAAAATAACCTGCCTTTATTTCAAACGAATAAGTAGAGCATCCACATTACCAAGCCCCATTATTTAAAAAGAAACGGGCTGGTTATATTGAAATCTGTGCTCCTGCTTTCCTCTGGGAATAAGCTAGTTTCAAAATAGTTATTTTGGGAGTTATTTCAAATATAGTTATTTTGAAATAATTTCCTAGTGTAGACGTGCCCTAAGAGACCTGGCTTTCGTTCTTGCTTCTACCACATACTCCCTCCTTCTGGGTGACTTGGGAAAATTATTTAGACCTTGATCCTCCTACAGCCCTATATTTTGGGGGGAAGGAGGGTTGTATCCACATCCAGTCTGCGCTCTGCAAACAGGCCTGCGGCTATAAAGTGGATCTCTGCAAACCTGTAGGGCTCAACTAACTTCCATTGAAATCAACAAAACCTTCACAGATCTGGGCCTTTGTCTCCATGCAGCCCAGTTCTTCCTGAGTTGTCTGAGGCCGAAGGCTTTGAATTAAAGACAGAGCAATGGGCTCACGGCCCCACCGCTACCATATTGCCTGGCAGCTGTGCAGGATTGCTGTGCCTGTTTAAAGGGCCCATGGCTCTGGTCCCTGTCAGGGTAGCACTGTGGCCAGGAGCCATTTAAAAGGATCCTGCTGCCTGAGCTGCTGCCTGGAAATTCAGTGGCATGGGCAGCAGGATAGAAATAGAAAGCAGCCAGATGAAGTCCATGGGCCGCATCAAAGTGGTAGGTGGGCCGGATCCAGCCCCTGGGCTGCATTTTGCCCAGCTCTGGGAGATTATCTAGACAACTTCAGATCTCCTGGGGTTTGCCCAGCACTGCATGCAAGGTGCGTAATGGCAACGCTACGAGAGCCGTGACTCCAGCAGGTGCTGCTGTGATGCACAGGCAGCTAGAAGGCAAAGGCTGACGAATCCGCCCTCTGCAAACAGACCGATCCCGTCACCCACCAGTGCAGAGGCAGGGAGACCCACCATAGAGAATGACTCCTGTGGACCACAGGTCTACGCGGGCATCATACTGCCGGCTGCACACCATCTCGGGGGCCATGTAGAGCGGGGATCCTCGGAGCACGTGCTTCTCGTCCCACGGAGACATGTACTGCGCAAAGCCAAAGTCTGCGGGGAGCAGAAAGAAGGGGGAGGGACAGGCAAGGGGACGTGAGAGGCTGCATTAGAAGCTCTCTAGGGGCGGCTGGCTCAGGGAACAGGTCAGGAGACACGGAGCCTTCCACCCCACTCCGATCCAGCCCAGACCTCGCCACCAGGCGCCTTATTGGCAAAGGATCCAAGGGCCGAACAGAAGCCGGAGGCAACCCCCCATGACTGGGGGTCAGCACGCGAGGGAGCCAGCACGCGGCCACCTGGACTCAGCAGAGCCCACAAAGGGGTTTTCCCTTTCCAGACAGGGAAACCGGGGCTCTGCCCCATCCCCGCTGGGGATTGGAGACCTCCCTTCCCCTTAAATCCACCCACCTCCAGGCTCCTGGGGACCATCAGCTACACGGGCACCAGATTCCAAAGCCCTTCATCAGCAGGACAACTCCCCCAGGGAGCGAGGCCTGGGACTGACACCCCGCAGCCCCTTGCCTGCCTCCAAACCCACCTGCCAGCTTGAGATGAGGATTTTCCAGGGAGCTGAGGAGAATGTTCTGAGGCTTCAGGTCCAGGTGGGAGATTTTTCTGTCGTGGAGGAACTTCAGGGCCCAGGCTGGTAGGACAAACAGGCCCAGGTGGAGTTGGAAGGGCCAGCACAGCACTATCCCCATGCAGAGGTGGGGGGTACGCTAGGCAGGGGGAGGCTTTTCCTTCTCCCACCCCTCATCACCGGCTGTAGGCGTCCTGAGGGTGGAGTGTCACAGACCCCAGGCTGCCCGCCCTCCCTGTGCTCCAGGCCCGGGAGGCTAGGCCCTGCACCCGCTTGCCCTCCCTGTGTTGGGACGGGGGTGCGGCATGCTGCCCACTTCCCTGTAGTGTGGGAGGTGGGCAGGATAGGGGAGGAGCCTCAGAAAAAGGGGCAGGGCTTCCCACCCTCAGACCTACCTTTACCCACCACCCATATCCCCATGCCAATCTGCTGCTGCTGCCACTGCCCCACCTCCAAAACTACACTTCCTTGAACAGCTCCACCCAAGTCCTCCTGCTTCCCCACCCTCATCCACGTGCTCCCTGCTTCCCCCCGGCATCCAGGATCCCTGGGCATGCGTCACAGGAGCAGAGGGATCACACTAGAGTCCTGCACGAATTCCAGCACAGGGCCACTCTAGTCAGTTTCGCAAAAGCTGCTGCAACTAGCCCCGTAAGGACTCGGTTCTGCAGCCAAGGGCCAGCGGGAGGGGTGGGCCGGGGGTCCCCTCACCCAGCTGCTGCAGAAAGAGCCGCGCCACCTTCTCTGGGAGTATCTTCCGCATCCGGATGAAACGGGAAAGGTCCCCCCCAGCGCAGAACTCCATGATGAGGTAAATGTTGTCACTGTCCCACTGCAAGACACACACACAGTCCATCCCGCCGACAGGGGCTGGGTTAGCTTGTAGCCACGTGTCACAGCACAGGGACTCCTAGGTGGGGGCACCGGCCTTTGCCTGCCTGGATCCCTAGGCACTTACCATGGAAGCCAGCGGGCTTGCACCGGGCTCAAGTATGTGGCCAAGCATTGGTCAGGTGCCTCCTGCCAACTGGTTCATGGAGCCAGCCAGGGAGTTGGCTCAGGGGGGCCCTTGCTCCAACACTTCAGTCACACGTCCCCCCAGGACCTCTCCAAACCCTTAGAAAGCTGGAGACCCCCAGTAGCCTTGCAACCCCCCCCACTTCTCCTACAACTCCTCCCCATTGCCCTGGCACTGCGGCTCTTCACCTGGAAGTCCTTCAGCTCCACAACATGTGGGTGGCGGATGGTCTTGAGGATCTCGATCTCAGTCAGCAAGTTCTCCACCGATGCCCGGTTCAGGCTCTTCTTGTTCACACACTTGATGGCCACCACTTCCCTGGTGTTCTTCTGGAAAGGGAAGGGGAACCATGCGGGGGGGGAATCAACATCCAGAAGCTTCCCACGGGATCTCGAAATCCCGAGAACACCCATCCCGATACTCAAACACCTGCCACTGACACGGTGTCTCAGCCTTAACCCCAGAGCGGGGGGCGTGTTTCACTAGACAGTAGCACCACTAACCATCTTGGGCACTAGCCCTGGGCCTCAGGAGCCTTCTCATGCACGAGGCATATGCAATGACGGGATGTTTTGAGGACTGATGGTTCAGTGGTTAGGACCCTACACGGAGACCTGGGTTCAAATCCCTGTCCCCCCCCAGGCTTCCTGCATAACGGTGAGCAGTCACTGAGGGTCTGTCTACATGGCACTGGAAACCCAGGTCTGTAGGACACCGGCTCACGGACTCCTTGTTTTCAAGCCCTTGCTAGTGCGTTCACACTGCACTGTGAACCTGGGTTTACAATTGCTAGACGGGGAGCCCCCTGCCATGCTAACACACTAGGTAGGCCCATAGACTTTAAGGTCAGAAGGGACCATTATGATCATCTAGTCTGACCCCCTGCACAGTGCAGGCCACAGAATCTCAACCACCCCTCTTAGAATAATCCTCTCACCTATATCAAAGATATTGAAGCCTTCAAATACTTTGAAGGACCCAACATGCAGAGAGTCCTTCAGCTGTGATCTGTGCCCAATGCTACAGAGGAAGGCGAAAACCCTCCAGGGCCTCTGCCAATCTACCCTGGAGGAAAATTCCTTCCCGACCCCAAATATGGCGATCAGCTGAACCCTGAGCATGTGGGCAAGCCTCACCAGCCAGACACCCAGAAAGTTCCCTATAGCAACTCCTATCATCCCTCCATTGACCTATTTCCAACTGATAATGAATGGTCAATTAGTTACCAAGATCATGTTATTTCATCCAACCATCCCCTTATCATAGAATCATAGAACTGGAAGAGACCCCAAAAGGTCGTCAAGTCCAGCCCCCCGCTCTAGGCAGGGCCAATCCCATCTAAATCACCCCAGCCAGGGCTTTGTCAAGCCGAGACTTAAACACCTCTAGGGATGGAGACTCCACTACTTCCCTAGGTAACCCATTCCAATGCTTGACTACCCTTCTAGTAAAATAGTTTTTCCTAATATCCAATCTGGACCTCTCCCACCACAACTTGAGACCATTGCTCCTTGGTCTGCCATCTGTCACTACTGAAACCAGCCTCTCTCCAGCCTCTTTGGAACCTCCCTTCAGGAAGTTGAAGGCTGCCATCAAATCCCCCCTCCCTCTTCGCTTCTGCAGACTAAACAGACCCAAGTCCCTCAGCCTCTCCTCGTAGGTCATATGCTCCAGCCCCCTAATCATTTTGGTGGCCCTCCGCTGGACCCTCTCCAATGCTTCCGCATCCTTTTTGTAGTGGGGGGCCCAGAACTGGACACTACTTCAGATGTGGCCTCACCAGAGCCGAATAAAGGGGAATAATGACATCTCTGGATCTGCTGGCAATGCTCCTCTTAATGCATCCTAATATGCCATTAGCCTTCTTAGCTACAAGGGCACACTGTTGACTCACCTCCCTGACCCCTCCACTCACCCTCCCTCTGCTGGGCCCGCCCCACCCTCACACCTCATCCCGCCCAAGGCCTGGATCCCCAGAGCTTGCTGGCTCAAGTCAGACTGATGTGGGGAGGGGGTGCAAGCAGGACTTGCAGAGCCCAGGCTTAGAGTACAGTGTCAACATACCCTTAGCGAGTGTCATTGTGCCTCAGTGCCCCCCCCCCCCATTCACTAGGGATAATGGCATGGCCAGACCCCACGGGGGTGTGGCAATAAATACATGCAGGAGGGGTGCACAGACACTGTGGTAATGGGGCCATGTAGGATCCAACCCCGCATCAGCCAGGCCTCCTGAGACCATCCCACATGGCAGCACAACCCAGAGGAGCCACAGCGGCCAAGGGGGCAGCGCTGCGGGTGGGGGGCAAGAGGAGGGAGGAGTCAAGCTGGGGTTGGTCCTGCCTCGGGCTGGGGGCTGGACTGGATGACTCCTGAGGTCGCTTCTAGCCCTGGGATTATACTGTTGTATAACGCAAACAGCCCCTGTGCATTGGCTTCTAGGCCCAGTGGGGCCATTACCTCAGTGAGTCTGACCTCTTGGACAGCCCAGTGACTCCCCAAACCCTCTGCTTTGGGCCAATGGCTTGTGTGAGGCCAAAGCCACTCCCAGGAGGCCTTCAGCCTGGCTCTGACAGCGTCAGATGATGGAGAATACCCCCTGCCCTACATGGTTCGTCCCAGTGGCTAATCACCCTCCTGGATAGAAATTGGGGCCTGTTTCTCACTGGGCCTTGTCTGGCATCAGCTGGGACAAGGGCCCAAAGCCCTGCCTGTTCCTAGTATTAGACAGAGGAGAGGGGAACTCTGGGTGAATCGCCCCAAGTCCCTTGAGCCCTGGGCTGTGGGCTCAGCTCTGACGTAGTAGAGTCTGCCCTGGAGCTCAGAGCCTGTCGCCCAGCGGGGCTGCTCCAAGTGCCCCCAGGAGTGAGCAGCAGAGGGGGATGGACCCAGCTCTCCTAGCACCTGGGGGACTGGACGGCACTGCCTCCCTGGAATCAGCAGCTTGTGGACCTGAGGGGACGGCTGAGAGCTTCTCCAGAGACACACGGCCACAGTCGTCTGCCTGGCAGTGACAGCCCATCATGGGGGGCTCCTGCCGCCGCAGCGAATGCGGGTGTTGTCTGTGAGCGCAGCAAGTCAAACACGCAGCGATTTGTGCATGAGCAGCGTCCCTTTAAGACGGGGTGGGGAACCTCAGGCCCGGGGGCCGGATGCGGCCCGCAGCTTGCCTGGATCTGGACCCCCCGAGGCTCAGGGCCCCCCCCAGCATCAGGGAGCCTATGCTGGTGCTCCAGCCCCCTGTTGCTGCCCTGCGGGCTAGTGAGCACGAAATCTACTAGCCTGCCCCTCCCCAGGCTCTGGTGTGCCAGGGGAACGTGGAGAGGGTCTTTCTCCTCTGTCAGGGGCCACAGTCAGAGGTTTGATCACTCTTCCCACTTGCATGCAGCCCCCAACTGATTTTTCTGGGGGTCAGTGGCCCCTGACCCAAAAAAGGCCCCCTGCCTCTGCTTTAAAGATTTGGACTGACATATTTAAAACCCTGCGCTTCACCTATTTAAAATGTTAGATGCTCAGCTAGTGACTTACCTGCATTGTTAATCTTTGAAAAATGAATGATTTATTTAAGGCACAGCCCAGTTTTTATGTATACAGCGGCCTGTAAACAACACCCTGCACCCTCTTTTTACAGCCCTGCACCCAAACCCTGGACCTAAAATGAACCAACTGCCTTAGACTAGAGTAGGGATACAGAATTTTGCTGGGCTCCCCATTTAAAATATTTCTGTAATGACCCCACATCCTCCCACAAGAGCCTCAAAACCCCCTTTTTGGTTAGACCCCCCAGTTTAAGAAATGCTGGACTAGAGCGAGAGGAAGGGTGTCTGAGAACACACTGTGAGCAGGCAGAGATGGCCTACTACCCTTAGGAGACTGCTGAAATATTTTTGCTATATTAAGTAACGATACTCCCCCTCCCCTCACTAGGCATGGGTAAAATTATCCATTACCAAGTCACTTAAAAGCCAGGAATTATCAACGTACCTCAGCATAGGCTAGCACAGGCCCGGAGCCCTAGTGCTGCAATGAAACCAGCGAAGCAGGTAAATTGGTACCCTTGGCCAAGATGGCACACAAGGCATTGAGCCGTGGTACTTGCCCTTCTCCGCTCTCCACCTATGCCTCTGTGCTCTCTGCCTTTTCTGCACGAAGCTTCTGGTTTCTCTACTCACTCACGGTGGGGGAGAAGCACTTCCCATCCCTCACCTGACCATTCGCGTACATTGCAACCCTGGAGCGCCGGCCCTGGCCAGCCCGAAGGTTTGTAGAGCACATTCGAGTCCCACCGAGGACATCAACTGCTCGCTACTACGTGGACAGAGACCCACTCTCCGGTAGTGACCTGTTGGCAAGCCGTCAGAGCGATCCCAAAGCAAGGCTGCTGGGGCCATGTACGAAACTGCACTGCAAGCTGCCTAACCTTGGTTCCCCTCTCCCCCTTATTTTCTCTGGGGCACGAGAGCGGTGGCCTCTTCCCCCTCTCCAATGAAGACGGAGAGACTAATTTGTTTCCCTTGTACCTCCTAGCTAAGTTAGCTTTTCATAGGCTCATTAGCCACAGACTAAATACTCACAACAGGAAGTTCCCCTGCCGTGTTGCTAGGTGACCGGTACAGCCAGATTTTCAGAAATAAGCATCCCGATTCAGATCAGAGTTAGGGTACAGCCGCTCCTTTGGTGTTACATGCTCGGGTGGCATTTTGTACTTACTGCGGGCACTCAGGGGGTAAGGCAAGACTAGAGCAACAACTCCCAAATTTAATTGGTTGACATCACAGCTTCATAAACTGTCAGCGTGAAGTGAGTGGATAGACCATCAAGCTCTCACACCACACACCGTTCAAGAAGCCCGGCTCTTCGGCCACTAGGGTAGATGTGGCGTATACCCCCCGAAAGCATCCTATTTACTCAGTTTCAGTCAATGCTGCTTGGATTCACCTGAATTTTTTTCACCGGCTTGTATCGATCTACAGTTTGTAGAACTGAAGAGCGTTTCAAGTTGTCAGAATGTCCCTTGTTGGTGTTTTATTTACAAAAATAAAATATTTGACAATTTTTTAAAATGTTCACAAAAAACAATTTAGTTTGCCCCACAATGAAGGTTTTGGACTTTCACTTCATGAAACATTTCAGAACTGTTGACTTTCCACCCTGCACTGGGATGAGAAAAATTGCAAGGCTCAATGCTTTTTGTGGGAGAATAAACATCTGCTGGAGTGCTTGCTAAGAAGCTGAACACTGGAGCCCCTGTTCTGTGATGCAAGTTGCATTGTTGTTCCAAACACCATCCTTTTGCATATGCCACATTAACCACCTCAGATGCACAACGAACCCCAAGTTGTTGTCAGAGCCACAATTTGGCCATCATGAATTAGGCCAGGACTGCCAGAAGTGTGGAGTGCATTGTGCATCAGATCAGGAGACACCAAGTGGCGAAGGTGAAAGGGGGGGGGAGGGGCGTGCACAGTTGGGGCTTGTCTCCATGTGGACGTTCACTGAAATAGCTATTCTGTAGTTAGTTTGGTATGAGTCCCGTGTGAACACTCACTGGAGGTTTTCCCGAAACTAGTTCCAACAGCAATTAACTCAGGAAAGTCTTGGAGCCTGCGTAACACAGCTCAGACTAGATGAGAACAGTCCCTTTCTGGTTAAAATCTATGACTACAGAACGTCCACCTACTCCAGGGGTGGGGAAAGTCAGAGCTGAGAGCCGGATGTGGCCCACGAGGTTCAGGGATCCTCCCCTAAATTGGAGAGCCTGTGGGTGGGTGGCAGGGGGGCATTAAAGCTCCAGGCCCCCCTGCCACCCACCCACAGGGCTGGAGCATACAAAATCTATTAACCGGGGGCCCCCCTAGGCTCTGGTGTGCAGAGGGTCTTTTTCCCTTCTCTGTCTAGGGCTTCTCACTTTGTGAGGGGCCCTGCCTGATTTTTTCTGAGAGTCACTGGCCCCCGAACAAAAAAGGTTCCCCACCCCTGCCCTACACCTTTTTACCACAAAGAACCACTCTAGAGAATATACATGACCATAGCACCTAGCAGCCGCTCTCATGAGCCAGAAGCCCATTGTGCGAGGTGCTGCACACACACAACATTTGTTTTGGAGTAGTTACTCCAATGGCTTTCCATGTGTAGAAAAGCCAATGGTTTCATTGGCCCTGGCAGGGGGCTTGGCTTTCACAGCTGTGAGCAGATGGAAGAGTGCACGTGGACAGAGCAGGAGGGGGGCTTCATTCCCAAAGGCTCTCCGGCACCACTTCACTCTGCCAGCCAACTCAAGGCAAAGCACCATTTCCACTTTAATCCTCACTAGTGCGCCAGACAGGAGCGCACCCAACATGTACAGCAGTGACAGCAGCATGATTCATAGGCGGCTTCTCGAGCATCTCCTCGGAACTAGCGCAGGACTGCCGTGGCTAACACGTGGAATTGACAGGGGGTCGCTGGGAGCTGAAAAGGGCAGAAATTCCCAGACATGAGGGGAGGCGGGAGGGTTATTTTGTTTTTTATTTAAGCACAAAAGTGTGACTTGACATATACATTTTTACACAAAAAGATTAGAGGAAATACATCAGAAGGGGGGACGTTAAAGTCTCATTTTTCCATCCTCGAGTACATTCCAAAGAGAGAGACTTGATCAGCTCAGGCAGAGCCGGTTGGCTCTTATGCTTGAAGGGTGGGATGGTTAAGGACGACCCAGTCACCTTTTCATATAACAACCGGAAAGCAGAGCTACAGTGGAAACCAACCCTCCCTGGGTCACAAAGGTATCAAGCACTTGGCTCCGCCCAGTTTTTCCCCTGCCCTTCATCGTCCTCAGAGTCCACCAATCAGTGGATCGGGCCCATAATTGGGAGGGATGAGTTAGCTGTTGGGATTGGTTACCCAGATGAAACACCACTGTAAGCACATGCCATGGGTCCCAATTCCACAGCGTCTCTCTCTCTCATCCGCCCCAACTCCACGCAATCCCTCTGCAGAAAGGGGAGAATTCTCTTGGCCTGGGTGCCAATGACAGACACAGAGCAGAACACCCATCTCAGGTTGCTGGAGGCTGGGTTTCTCCTCTCTAGACGGATGGAATAATTACTTGGAACACACTTCAGTCCAGGAGCTGTCAGAGGAATTATCAAGCCCTGAAGTGTTTGCTGCCTCTGAAAAGAGGCATCGAGGCGGAGTTGGGGCTTTCCACAGCCGATGCCCTCATCGAGAAGTAAGTTGCAAACACTCACACCATTATTTTCACGCTCTCTTTCCCAGAGTTCCTCTCTCTTGCCCAGTCCCTTTCAGCCTGCTGGTGGAAAAGTGACCCTCCCCATGCACTTTTTCCTACTAGACCAGAAGAGTGAAGATTCAAGACCCAACAAGAGAAGGAGGGGATAAAACTGATGAAGAGTGGGAACTTTTTTCACCGCAAAAGTAACAAATCTAAAGAAAAACAGTCTCATCCCCACTTCCATCCACTCGCAAGGACACCTCAGGGGTTATCCACTCAAGGTCAAACACAAGGAACTGTCACCAAAACAGACATGTGGATGCTTATCAAAACTCAGCCACACGCGGCCACCATGAAGCCAGACGTGTGATCTGAAGCGAGACAGAGTAGAGGGGAGGCACTCTCAGAAGGGCCATGCAGTCCAGATAAGGTGGCACATGCTTCCAGCAACAGCCCCGCGAGGGTTTTGCACAGATGCCGCTTTCAAAAAGGAACCAAGACTGGGGTCTCTCTCGAGAAAGGTACGAATCCCCCTGGAGAAAGTCCACGTTCCCCCCAGGAATCAAAAGCTCCGTGGGACGATCCTCACATGGGGAGAGCAAGCTGGGCAGGGAAGAGGAATGGCCAGCTGCAGGCAGACGTAGTGTTCAGAGCCCGGCACCGTACTCATCAGGGGCTGAGCAAGCTGCATGAAGTCTAGAGCATTTCCCCTCAGAGCTCGTTTGCTGGCTCCATCTCCTCCGCCGCTTCCTAATCCCATCCCCATCCCTGCAGGGTCCCCCATGATCCTGCTGGCCTCTCAAATGCTGCTACAGAGGAGCTGGTAAAGTCCAGAGATTATCCCCCCCAAGATTTAAGGCTATGGTGAAAGCTACACTCCATTGATTAACCCTCCATGCGTCCCCAGGGAGCTACAGGAATCCGATTCCATGGTACAATCTTGGGGCAGACCCTCACCCCAAGGTGAGAAAAAACAGAAGCGGGAGGGCGTTTTGCACCACGGAGGGATGAGAAAGAGCAGTTTCCCACCAGCACCCTTTATGCCCTGTTAATCAGACCCCGTGGCAGCCAGGCAGTAAGAGGTCAAGCATTAGCATCGCTGTTTCAAAGGGCAACTTCCTCCCTTGCTGACACCCACTTCCTGAAAGTAACAAAGTAAATCCGTCAGCACAAAGCCCCTTGGAAGAGCTACTAAAGAGCGAAGAGATTCCCTGGTCGATCCCTGTAGCACGGGCAAGCAGGAGAGGTAGTACAAGGAAGGTTGAACGTGTCCTGGACAAGGAGAGCTATATTTGATACAAGAATATTTCCCTTGCCCCCCACCCCAAAGCAGAGAAAGAACTGGGTTGCCAGAAATGCAGACGACCGGAAGCTAGAGACCCCTCTTCTTAGCGCCGCAGCCGGCATCACGGAGTTAGCATGGTGCCCGTGGAAAAGTGCATCTTAAGATCAGGTCGTGCTGGAAGGGGAAGGGAAGGGGCAAGGTATCCACGGAAAGCGTTAGTTTCCCCGGAAAGCGCCCTGTGCAGCTGAAGAAGCAGCCCCAGCGGCTGCGTTCTGGAAGTTCCTGTTGGTGAGGATCCCTTGGGAGAACTCTTCCTGAGCCCTCTGGAAACTGGCTCCTGTCCGGCGATAGAGAGAGTGCACCTGAGGAAAGAGACAATCTGTCAGCCCATGGACTCTCCAGCTTCCCCCAGCACCGAGAAAAGGATCCCCCAGGTTGGCAGCCTGGGAGCAAGCAAATCTTCTTCCTCCTCACAGGGGGAGAGGGGCTGTCAGCCAAGTCACATCCAGCAGGAGCAGTGGAAGATTTAGGAGGAGAGCCTCACTTCGTACAGGGAGCATCCAACTCAGCGGAGGATGACTAGCCAGGGACCTCCATGTCACTGACGGACGGTGGGTAAGCCTAACCCGCGAGCACTGTGGGTCACAGGAGGCTGGGTGTGATGGCACTTTGGGTCACAGGCACACAGCATCCCAGGACTCAAGAAGGAAGCAACTAAGGAATTCACTCCCTCCCCTCACCCCCATGATTCCCCAGGTATCAAATCTGTTGCCTTTGATATGTGGCTTAATTCCCCCAGGTACTGCAGGAGGAAGGCAGGTGGCGTGTCTGAAGCAATCTGGGACAGCAGCGGGGAGATGCGTTTCAGACCGCAGGTGCAGAGGGAGGGAAATGGTTCATGAGTGCAGGGGAGTTTTGGTAGAGGAACCCAAGAATGATGTCTCAGTCAGCCAGTGTCTCGTCTATTCCAGTGGTCCATCTCCAAAGCTGGCAAGGACCAGATGCTTCAAGATGCTTCTTGATGGCTAATTATGGAAGAACGTGTCCAGAGCTTCTTCCTAACCTAACAAGTGGCGTATTTCCCAAAGCAGGAGTCACATCCCTTACATATGGTTTGCCAACTCTATTCTCATGATCCAGGCAAACGTCTGATCCTTTTTAAAAGTCTATCAGCTCTTGGGACCACGAACAGGTCAGATATGCACTGGATAAAAGTGAGACACGAGATTTGCGCTCTCTACCCCATTTGTTATTTAGTCTACCTCTACTGCATCCCTTCTTTAGACTAACCAGTCCCAATCTTTTAGAACACAAGAACCAAACTATCCCTCTTCCTTTGCTTTCTGTCTCTCTGCAAACATGACGATGTACATTTCCATCACAGCGTCTTGGGAGGGGCTTTGGACACAAATCCAGAAGGAGGAACAGGCCAACATGCTCTCCAAAGGCCCTTCACAAAGCTTGTTACTTTCATCCTTCCTTTGAAGCTCAGCTACTTACTAGGCACAAAACTCCTGAAGCAACTAAGAGTCTTTTTGGCAACTTTTTGGCAGTGACCTTGCCCGGAGGATACAAGATCTAACTGGGAGCTGCTCTTGCTGTAACTTACCTGCTTGAGGAGGATGAGCGAGAGGACAGCGCACAGCGTGAAGAAAGCAGCAACCACCATCATGATTATGGACACGGGCCAGCTTATGCGTGTCTCGTCCAGCGCTGCAATCCAGCCACTGTAAGGAAGAGGGCTCATCACACGACAGGTACCAGATACCCCACAGGGACAAGAGAGGAGATGACCCTGGGTTACTCGGTTTATCTGATGACAAGAGGGTTAAGGGACTACAGAGAGAACATGCAGCCAAGTTCAGGCCAGAGGAAACGTTCTTTACCGACTTCAGACTCGGGCAAGGAATTCCTCGACACATCCCAGATGCTGGATTAGCTTTAAAAATGATTTCCAAGTTCCCTTCTCGCAATGCATGACAGGTATGTCTGCCCAGCAATGGAAGCCTAAGGTTAGTGGGACTCAATTCAGCTGACCCACGGCAGAGATGCCTGGGCTTCTACACTGCATTTTAACCCTAGGATAAGGATTTTCTGACCCGGGCTCAAACCTAGGGCTCTGGCATCCACACTGCAGTGCACAGACCCCAGCTAAAGTAACCCTATCCCAGGGTACCCAGCTCCCATGCCCTAGGAAGGTGGTGCATTGTGGGAGAACTCTGCTGCCCAGGGAGGTTGTATAAATTGCCCAGGGAGGTTGTGGAATCCCCATCCGTGGAGATATTTAAGAGCAGGTTAGATAAATGTCTATCAGGGATGGTCTAGACAGTATTTGGTCCTGCCATGAGGGCAGGGGACTGGACTCGATGACTTCTCGAGGTCCTTTCCAGTCCTAGTATTCTAGGATTCTATGCCCACTTGTTTCCTATCTGTGGTGCTGCTACTGGCGGGACTCAGCCGCCCACGTGGCGCACGAGGACATCAACGGCATCTTTAGCTCCTCGGGTGCTGTCTCAGTCGTGTGAGGGCAGGGCGAGTAGCCTCTGTACTGAACTACATCTAGTCAGAACTGGGCTTGCCCGCTCTAGGCTCATAGGCAGGAAAATGCCCAGGACCCCCGTTCCGAGGATAATTAGGACATCTGGCTCAAGGCTGGCCAATGATCAAATGTTGCAATCCTTAACTGTTACTGCTGCTCGGCGGTGGGTTCTGGGGCTGGCTGCTTTTTTCTCAGGTTTCAAGTTTGACATGAAAAGTCAAATAGGTTTCAAAGGAAAAACACCCCTCTCTGCAGCCAGGTGGGGAAGGGGAAAGTGCATTCCCAAGGCTTGGGGTGCCAAGTGTTCCAGCACCCCCGGGGATCCCTCACCCCTGCTCCCGCTGCACTCCTGCAGAAAGGGATAAGGGATCCCTGGAGAGGCTAGCTCCCACTCACCACCCTCACAGTGCATGTAGCCCAGGTGCCTCTGTCCACACAGTCCAGGGGGTTCTAGGGGCCAAGGACCAAGCAGCTGCCCTGCAGGCAGGGGAAAAGCAGAGCTCCCGATGCAGCATGGCTGGGGGAGGAATGACCCTCAACATCCTGGCAGCTGGGAGCTGCCTCCCGCCTGTCAGCTTTGCTCCTCTGTATTCCCAAACTTGTGCTGTGTTTCTGGGTGATACCATAGGCAGACTGGGATCAGCACTGGGATCACGGGGCATCAGCTGTACAAAGGAAGTCCGTGTGGTATGGATGAATGCCAGCGCAGCCATGCCATGTGCTGTCAGCTTGTCTTTGGGACAAAGGAAGTACAGGTCACATGGCAAAAGAATATAAAAGGCGGCTACATCATATCCATTTTGTCTTCAGTCCTGCTTTTTACCTCTGGTAGCACTGAACAAAGGTCTGAAAGACCCATCCAAGCTGCAGTGTTCCAGAGGGACTTTCAAGCCAGCCAACCCACCATTACTGCACAGAATTTGACATATGGACTTTGAAGTCTCTGTATGGATCTGATTGCTTTACCGTTTCACAACTCTCTTTCGTGTTCTTAAAATAAAGCTTTAGTTCTAGAAGCTCAAGGATTGGCCAGCACCACAGTATTTCAGGTAGATCCAGACCTATCCTGACCTGGGAATGTGTCTGGCCCTTTGGAGTCAGAAGGACATTTTGGATTTGTGAGCAGACTTTTTTACAGTTCTCACTGTGCTAGCGCGGGGTGCTGTGAGCCAGAAAACTGGAATGCAATGAAGTGGGTTGTGTGATTTCTTTTCTTAGCTTTTTGATAATCTGCATGGAGGATCAGAAGTGTCATTTGTTTCTGGTTGGGGAGTTTAACTTCATTGTTACCTACCAGTCTTGGGAGTAACTACTTTCCATTAGCAATATTAACGTGGGCTTATCGGTTAATCTTGTTGACTACACACACTCTCCCATGCCCTGCTGCCTTAAAAGCCGGCTCCCCACGAGCACCAGAGGAGAGCAAGGGGGCCAGGTGGGAGGCAATACGCAGAGAGCCAGCTTTCAAGCAAGTTGCCCATGCGTGCTGGCTCCGCAGACCTGTCTCTCCCACCCTGCTTCTGCCTCTATTAGGCTACATCTACACTACAAGTTTTCTCAGCAAAAAAATAGGCTAATGAGGGACTCATTTGCATGAGTCAATCTCATTTGCATATTTTCTGCCAATCTGTTTTTGCGCTGAGGTTTTTGCGCAAAAACAAGCAGTGCGAACATTTTTTTGTGCAAAAACCCTTTTCCACAAGATTGATAAGCCACCTTTTTTGTTTTTGCGCAATCTTGCGGAAAAAGGGGGTTTTGCACAAAAAGAAAACGTTCACGCTGCTTGTTTTTGCGCAAAAACCTCAGCGCAAAAACAGATTGGCAGAAAATATGCAAATGAGATTGACTCATGCAAATGAGTCCCTCATTAGCATATTTTTTGCCAAGAAAATTTGTAATGTAGACATAGCCTTAGAGGCAGCAGCATGGGTGAGGGACAGGAGAGGCTGCCACAGAGCAGCCTCCATCCCAGGGGTGGACAAATTTTTACTGGGGGCCGCTTCAGAAATTTTTGAAGTGACCCCAGTCTGCTCCAGAAGGGGCAGGGCTTCAGGAAGAAGGGGTGGGGCCAGGACACCTCCCTGCTTCCCCACCACAGACCATGACTGGTCTGGCGGTGGGGGAGCACAGTGAAGTCTTTGCCCTCCTGCAGGGGTTCCACCTACGCGCCCATTCCCCTGGTGGTGGGAGGAGACTTTGCCTGCTCCTCCTTCTGCCCCCAGGCCAATCAGGGCTTAGGGGCAGGGGAGTGCGCAAAGTCTCCTCCTGCCCTGCCAGGAGCATGTGGTGCTTCTAAGCGCCACATGCTCCTTGCATTGCGGGGGAAACTTCACGCACTCCCCCCTGCCCCCAGTCCCTGACTGACCTGGGGGCGGGGGAGCCACAGGGCCTCCATGGGCCACATCAACCTGCTTGGCGTGCTGGCCCCAGCTTGTGAAGGGCCTTTTGCCCACCCCTGCTCAGTCCCCCCATGGACAGAGGCTCCCTTCATCCTGTGCTGCTTCCTCTGTATCAGAGGCAGTAGCACAGGGTGGCAGGCAGTTGGTCTGCACAGGAAGCTGCTTTTTTAAACTGGCTCCCCTTGTGGATCAGCATGGGGTGGCAGGAAATGCAATGCCCCACCTCCGCAGACTATTGAATGGTTGTGTAACCGTTAAAATGTCACGCGGTTACACGACTATTAAATTACACGCTATCTAACATCCCTACACAGTTGTGCAGCCTGCCCTGCCTTTGGCATTTTCACTGAGGGTCGCCTAGGCCACCAGGTCACAGCAGACATAGCCTAAAATCAGACCCAATGTGGCGCACATCCCTGGAAACGGTGGCTAGCTGGAGAGGAATGGGGAAAAAGCAGCACGGACTTGGGAAAGGAGGAGAATCACCAGGCTACGGTGAAAGAACGGTAGAAAAATCCAACTCAGCGTTAACATTTTGGGACTTGAAGCCCCAAACGCAGCTGGGGCCCTTGCCTCCAGCAATTCAGCTCCACTCATGGTCAGAAGCAGCCTCTCTGACAACCGCACAGAGCACTGTGCTACCCCCGCCTGCCTCAAAATCCCTCCACAGGCAGTTGAAGAGCCCTACACAATTCTGGCTCTGCTCCCACACATGAATGAAAGCTCTGGGGGACATTCGTAAACACCCGTCTGAATAAAGCATTCTTGGAAACTTCCACTTGCCAGTTCACCAGCAGGGACAGAGCAAGTAAGTGAACTGTAGGGTTTGGCCGGTATTGTCCATGGGAGTTTTGCAAGGCTGGGGAAACATTTGTGAGGGGTGGAAGAAACACAGAAAATAGCATGAAGCAGCACAGGGTAAGGGCTGGAGAAAAAGCTCTTTAGCAGAAGCTAATTAGTGTGATTATTCCCTAGAGTTCTTTATGGCCATATCCCCGGTACAGTGCGAAGGGCAAGGACTACCAAGCTGCCTAGCTAGAATCCAGGCTTACGTATTTGGACAAAAGTCTTCCTCTCACCGTTGGAAAAGGACGTTTCATTTCAGGTGCTAAATACACTGCATCCTCTTTTGCCAAAGGAGGTGGAAAAGAGATTGGCGAGAAGGAAATATTTGGCTTCTTTTATTAGCTGTGTATTTTCTATTGTGTTGAACTAGCACTAAACACGGATCACGCTATTTAGCCAATGATGAAAAGACTGTCTGTGTGCGAGCGGCTTTCTCTACGATCAGTGTGTTCTCGGGAGCCAGAGCGCTCTCCCAAGCCAGACTAAAAATGGAGCTCCGACTGACTCAAAGGCAGCAGCAGGGTCAGAGAACTGGAGAGGGAGGGAATGCAAGGATGGTTTTACCCAGGAGTCCTCCTCCAGGCTGTGGGCAAAAATAGACTGCAGTTTCACTGCCGCTGTCACCTGAAGGTGCCCCCACAGCCAAACTCCCAGCCCTGACCTTTTCACTATTCCTCACATGCATAACAGGAAGAGAAGCCCTTTTTTAAATTTGATCTCTCAATTTATATTGCTGCCAACATACTGTGAAAGTGCTGCTCTCATTTTACATGGGATCAGAATCCCTGCTCCTTCCATCTTTTCCCTCCAAGTGCAGAATAATTTATTTTATATGCACTGAGGCATGTGCGAACGTGCACGACCAATAGAAACACAAAACCTTGCTGTGGGCACTCTGCTAATGAGCTGAGTGGCAGCTGAATCTCTCCTGAGCGGCCGCAAAAGCACACAGCTTACAGGGAACATGATCAGAACTGCTGGCAGATAGATGTCGGTACCCGTCTTTAGATGATTAACATGTACTGATCTACAGAACATTGAAGGCTACATGGGTTTTATGAGAGTACCCAGACAAGATCTACATTGGAGATGTGACCAAATAGGTGTAGAAAGACACTTAGAGATAAGAGGTATGTCTAGACTACATGCCTCTGGTGACATAGGCATGTAGATTAGGCTACCCAGCATAGGGAAATGAAGCCGCGAGGTTTCACGAGGCATACCTGCGCCGGTCGACAAAGGCTTCCTTGTCAACTGCGGCGCGTTTAGACTGACCCGATCTGCCGACAAACAGCTGATCAGCAGCTGCTCGGCAGAGCAGGGAAGCCATTTAAATTTAAATGAAGCCGCGATTATTTAAATCGCGGCTTCATTTCCCTATGCCGGGTAGCCTAATGTACATGCCTCTGTCACCAGAGGTATGTACTGTAGACATACCCAAGGAGAGCAGGAGATAGCACTGTGAGGAGTGGTTGGGAACTGTCAGGCAATAGCAGCAGAGGAGATATATGCCTTTGATGTGACTTGAACAGGACACGCAGAGGAGAAAAGCACCCAGCTGAACTCTGCGGAAGCTGCGCACCGAGAGAGAAATGGGAGAGGACAGACAGCTTTAAGAACAAAAGGCACGAAAACCTCTCTGGACAACCGGAGTCTTGCTGAGAAGGTGCCAGTTCAGAGCTGCATCGCCCACGCTGTGAGTCAGGCTTACCTGTCCCCCCAGCCAGGAATAGATTGCAATTTGGCAGAAAAAGACGAAGAAGAACACAAAGAAGCTGAAGGAGCTGTCAGACCTGCAAGGGGAGAGAGGAGATGAGCAAAATCCAGGAATCTGGAGAGATGCACCATACAAATCACACAAGCATGTTGTAAACAAACAGGAAATAGTTGCAATGAAGCCTCCTCCAGCTGAAGAGGGCATGAGGAGTAGGGATGGAAGCCGTGCAGCAGGAGAATTAACAAACGCGGTGGCTGCAATATGCACTCACAGCGTGGCGGTAAAGCCCACTTCATTAATGTGCATCATACAATCAGACTGCGTTCCTGGGTGACAGACTGAGAATTTTCTGTGCATGAATAGCAACTAGGACCAAATAACTAGCTAGGATTTGGACACTGAGGTTGTGTTACTGTCTCGCTGACAGGCAATTTCCAAGTATTTTATGTGTCTATTGTATCTAACATGGCATGTCTAGTGAGGATCTTTCACTACATCCATCTCAATAGGCTGTAGATTTTAAGGTGTGCAGGAGCCATTAAGATTATCCAGTTTAAGCTCATCACAAGACAATCTCGTCTACCACCCAAGCCTGTACCCCAAACACCCAGTCTGTAAGGAAGGTTTTAGCTAATGTACTGAAAACTTGGAACTCCCTCCCTCCCCAGGCAAACACACTATGATTGGATTAAACAGGCCATATCCCTGTCAAACTGAAAAATGGTACTTGCCTGAAAGCCTTGTAGATGGGGCGATACCAACAAAGAAAAGCACAAGGGGTGAACAAAATAAACCACAGGATTGAGAGACCGAAGTCTACTCCTCTTCCTGAGTGGACGGTGAACCATGCCAGGCAAGCCAGCAGGTTTAGAAGCAGGGTAACGGAGTGAACTGTTCAGGGTGGGAGAAAGAGAAACAGATTAGCAAACTCCCCAAGACACCACAAAGTGCTGAAGCACTGCTGCCCTCTCATGGAACACAGTGCACAACATCCTCTGCAGAAACTCGGGAGCAACTTCGGCAATTGCCATCTCTAGTGAGAGTGGCGTGGAAAGGCAGATCGGACTGTAAGAGGCCTTGTCTCCCCAGCCTAAAGTCTGAATTCTTAGGACATGGAAATGCCTGCTGGGACGTGATTATAACGTCCCACACAGGGTTACAACTTTAGCTGGAAAACAGAGGCTGCTACACACCAAGAGGGGAACAGAACTTGCGCTCCCTGACACAATATGGTTAAACACATCCACCATCCTTTCATCGCCGTCAATTTTATTATCCAGAAGGGACCAGTGTGATTATATAACAGTGAGCTGTAGCTCACGAAAGCTCATGCCCTAATCAATTTGTTAGTCTTTAAAGTGCCACCAGACTCCTTGTTTTTGCTGAATCAGACTAACATGGGTACCCCTGCAAAACAGAGCATAGAATTTCACCTAGGGTGTGTCTACACAGCAGGGCTTAACTCCAAATTAGCTATGCAAATTGAGCTAAGGCAATTGCATAGCTTATTTCAAATTTGGGAGCATCTACCCAGCACTTATTTTGAAATAGAGCACTCTTCCTCCGACTTCCCTTATTCCTCATACAATGAGGGTTACAGGAGTCTGAGTAAGAAGGCCTCCAGCTTGGCAGTATTTCAGCATTATTTCAAAATAACGCTAGTGATTTCGAAATAATGTTGCTGTGTAGATGTACCTCTAAACATTTCACCTGCATTGAGCCTAAAAACCTGGGGATGAATCCAAGTCTCTCTGAGATCAGTCTATAAAAATCAGAGAACCGGGAGTTTAGAGCTACAGTGATACTGACAGGATGTGCCCACGAAAGCTCATAATATTATCTACATTTTTTGTTCGTCTCTAAGGACTGCAGGACCATTCTTTCAGTTTTTTACTAACAGCTGAGCCCAGCATCAGTCGCTCTGATGGAAAAGTCAGCATTCGATAGAAAGCCTTCTGAGAAAGGTTCCAATTTTGCCTTCTAGCCCAACACAGTTTCCCCAACTGTGCCCGTTATGGCTGGTTACTCACGCATCCACAAGTAATACAGCATCTTGCATATTCGCTGGTAATCAGCTGGGATGTCTGCAGAGAAGTCCTGATAGAAACACGGCTTGATTGGACACTTTCTGGGAAAGGGTGGCCAATTGTTCTGTCTCGCTGTAAAAGGAAAAGCAGAGATTCCCTCAACAGAATTCCCTGCTTCGACAGACTCACTTACGCATGATAGTTCACAAGCAGTCAGACTAGTAGTCAACATAAATATTAAGACTGGACCCTTAGAAGATGATGTAGCAACTAGGCCATGGCAAGAAATTTGATTTGAACAGTCTGTGCCTTGGAAGTGAACCTACATCAGGGGCTTCACTCCTGGACTACGTCTAAACTACATGGCTCCGTCAATGGAGCCAAGTAAAATAGTTTATTTGGCATAGTCAAAGAAGTGGGGATTTAAATAACCCCCGCTTCATTAAAAGTTGATCCAGCACAGCGCGGCAGTCTAGACGCGGCGCGGTGAGGCATTCCGGAGTGGTTGACAAAGGCTTCCTTTGTCGACCTCACCGCGTCTAGACTGCTGGATCAGCTGGTCGTCGGCACAGCGTGGCGGCCATTTTTATTTTAATGAAGTGGGGATTATTTAAATCCCCGTTTCTTTGACTATGCTGAATAAACTGACACACAACACACCAAATAGACACACAACACACCAATTCCACAGGGAGGCAGGGCAGCACACCACGTGCATGCTCCCTCTTCCTATCCACGGGGAGGGGAGCAAGCAGGCACACAGAACGGCCTCAGCCCCGGGGAAGGGGGCGGAGGGTATCTGGCATGGCCCCAGCCCTCCTGGAGGAGGGTGCATTGCATGGCCCAGCCCAGCCTCTCCAGCTCCAGAGGAAGGATGAGGGCATACTGTGTGGTCCAGCCCAGCCTCTCCAGCCCCAGAGCACTGGGGGAGGAGGAGGGCGTGCCGCGGCCCCACCATGGAGCACCGGGAGGGCAGGCACTGGGGGCAGCAACACTCCATCCCCAGAATGCCTGCTGTAAGCGTTCTGGGGGCAGAGTGTGGGCAGGGTTATGCCTGGCGGTTTGGGAAGGCAAAGCCTTCCCCTGCCTAATATACCGAGCCCTGGTCATGGGCATCCGACACTCTATGTAATCTACTCACCCGTGGCAAGTAGATTACAACCCGGAAGAGCCGGGTTCAGGTGATCTGCACGTGCACAGAATGATTTGCGCACGCGCAGATTGCCGGACAGTGCGGCTGGCGAGCGGGGCTTGCTGCGGCTTGGCGAGCCCTGCCCATGACTGTCCTCATTCAGTGTGCAGCTGTCACATTATCTATCTACACAACACTCCTGTGAAGAAAGGTGGTGACACTATTTCCACTGTACAGTTTGGAAAATGAGGCAGAGATCATAAGGCCAAAGTTGTTAAAAGTGTCCAATAATTTAGAGTGCCTAAGTGAGACATCTAGAGGCTGACTTCCAGAGCACGTAGTACTATATAGCTCTTTATGTTAGAGCCCAGGGAATAACTGATGTTTCGGTTCAGTGTCTGAACAAAAAAAAAAATTAAAAAAAAAAAGTTTCTAACCAAAACTGAATTTGTTTTTTCTTGATACAGGAGAAAAAACACGATTTTGATTTGTTTCAGAGTGGGTTTTTTTTTTTTAAGTTTTTTGGGGTGTGTGTCAAACTATTTGCCGAATTTGCAACTCATTTTGGTGCTTTCCAAAAATACATATGTGATGGATGGAAGGAGAACTTCCCTTTTCTAGCTATCCCAGCCATTCAGTTAACTAAGTTTCCTGTAATGGGTTAAACCCAGAAACAGTGGGGAATCCTGGAAGCGTTGGCAGGGAGAGCCAATGGGAAGACAGTGAGATATCTGAATTGAAAGAACAGGTTCTGCCTGCTTCAGTCTTTGGTGTGAGTTCAGAGCAAGAGCTGGGGGAGAGATGAAGTAAGCCTTGGGAACAAGGCATGGAATTTTCAGCAATATCCATGTCTAGAAAGGACTGAACCTTGGAACAAGAGATGTGAATAAAACAGGGAGGCTGCGTCTAGACTGGCAAGTTTTTCCGCAAAAGCAGCTGCTTTTGCAGAAAAACTTGCCAGCTGTCTACACTGGCCACTTGAATTTCTGCAAGAACACTGACTTCCTACTGTCTGAAATCAGCGCTTCTTGCGGAAATACTATGCTGCTCCTGTTCAGGCAAAAGTCCTTTTGCCCAAAGCTTTTGTGCAAAAGGGCCAGTGTAGACAGCTCAGTTTTGTTTTGCACAAAAAAGCCCCAACGGCAAAAATGGCGATCGGGGCTTTTTTGTGGAAAAGTGCATCTAGATTGGTACGGATGCTTTTCCGCAAAAAGTGCTTTTGCGGAAAAAAGTGTCTGTGCCAATCTAGATGCTCTTTTCTGCAAATGCTTTTAACGGAAAACTTTTCCATTAAAAGCATTTGCGGAAAATCATGCCAGTCTAGACGTAGCCGGAATGTTTAGTTAGTTGTGATCAGTCTGTTTTTTAGTTGGGGGTTTGGTAAAACTCCTCTGTGCTGAGTCCACGTGCCCCACCCATGCACTGAAACTGAATCCCAGGGAAGCAATTCTCTGTGCTTTCATCTTTTTGTAGTTGCTCTGTAACACCTAACAACTAAGTGTACTTCACCAATTATACCTTCTTTGTTTTATTAATAAAATCACCTTTTTAAGACTATGATCTGATTCAAGCGTCCTAGAAGGCAGATGGTTCTACATGAGACCAAAAGGTCTGCTATTAAGAAATTGCAGTTTGTTGTCAAGCTCCCCGCTGAGGAAGGGTCAAAGACATTCCCAAGTGCATCTTCCTGGGCTCACAAAGGGGTTTTGCATTTTGGTGGTATGTTGCCACAGCCCAAAGTCAGGGAATCTGTGACCTTGGTGAGTTTTTTTTAAAAGCAGAAACTTTAGTGGCAGGATATTTGAAGGTCTCTTGCAGGCCCCCGCCTTCTCCAACTGATGTGCCAGAGTAAGGAACAGCCTTGACAGTATGTTTCAAGGAATTTACAACTCACTGCAAAAATTTCACCCAGCTCTACAGCTGAAAAAAAAAAACACATTATGAGCCATCAGTAGGCTTCAGACCTTTAGATCTACAGAGCAGGCCTCTACCATTTGAGTTAACCATGTAAATGGAAGTAGTAGCAGTAGGCTGTTATCCTCCATGTGGCCCAGCTAACGGAAGGGAATGAGACATTTTGCCAGTGAATTCTGCAGTGATTCGTTGGCAGCAGAGGAACAAAAATTCCTCAGTGTATAGTCTAATGGTTACAGATCCTTTAGTCCCTGTGCTCTCTGGCTGCCTTCCTCCTGTGTTGCCTTTCTCCCCTTGGCTACAGCATGTTCAGTACAGACAACATCTTCCAAAAATTTTGCTGCTGCTATCTAATTAACAAGGCTCTCCTGAACTTGTGCCCACTGGTTTTCAGAGGTTCAAAATTGGCCCAATTTTAGTGAATTTTAAGGGGATTGACACCAGAGCAATAGAGCTTCATAACAAGACAGTTGCAAGACTATTTTAAAATGGGTAAAACAAAGATTTTTTTTTTCCCCCACCAAACCTCATTCTGAGAAATCATTGAATCATTATAACTAAAACTTTCCAAACAAGTTCAGCCCTGAGGCACACACCCAGTATGGATAATTTCATCCTGAACAGTTAAGAACCCGCAAAAGCTGTAAGCAACCAAAAACAGGGTATTATAATGTAAAGTAGTGGTCCCCAACGCGGTGCCCGTGGGCGCCATGGTGCCCGCCGGGGCATTTGTGTGTGCCTGCCGACAACCTGGGCCAGCCCCACCCCCTGTGCGCGGTGCACGGGAGGCGCCGGCCCCAGGAGCGCGACATGCACCAGCGCCTGGTGCACGGCGCTCAGGCAGCCCCAGCCTCGGGGCACATGCAGGCTCGCGGCGCCGGCGCCGGCCCTGGGCCCATGGCACAAGGCGTTCGGGCGGCCCCGGCCCTGGGGCACATGCCAGCGCTGGGTGCAAGGGCATCCCCGCCTCCGGTGTACCCCCGGGCGCCCGGCGCATGAGTGACCCTGCCCCTGGGATCCTCTATAGCTTGGGGACCACTGATGTAAAGCGTCTGGCAATCCTAACTGTAGATGGCATCACAAACTCCACCTACAATAAAAAGGCAACTTACAGGTGAGTACATGTATGAGACAAATGGGTAAGAGGTGCCACATGGTCTAACAGACTGAGATAAGTCTCCACCCTCGACTACAGGAAAAATGAAGCACAAAGGCCATTTGGATCAAGGTCTTACAGACTTGGTCTCCTGGATCTCAGCCTAAGGTTTCTGTCACTCTCCCCCCGCACCTCATGGGATGCCTTGGAATTACATTAAATGGTGTAAGTCCCCATTGCTGTGATATTTAGACATTTCTCATGCAGACTCAGCTCCAGCACAAGGTAAAGAGGTCTGACACCCTACAGAATGCACACAGTGGGGAATTCATGTACGTTGGGGCTTTGACAAGTGACACACACAAGCATGGCTACTTAGAGAAAAAACCACTACTCACGGTTAAAAGCTGCTGCATTATTCTGCAACTCCCGCTCCTTCCTCTCCAGCTCCGCTGCTTTCCTCTCCAGCTCCTCCTGCTGCTGAAGGAGTCCAGCCTGGGCAGCTGAAGCTACAGCCTAGATGGAGAGTGACCGAAAAACTGGAGTCAAAAAGCCATTCAAGCAGGAAGAGGGTCCCTTCCCAAGGGAAGCGGGGGATGTGCACGCATTCAGAAGGCTAAGGACATGTCAAAAGCAGGACATTCATGGTTGGTCTGAGACATCCTTCAGCTTTCTGCCTGCCTCGGGGTAGTAACAGAACTCTACAGAAGCTGCCAGCAGCTGCCATTGTATTGCCCGTCTCTTCCCTGAGGGTGACCATTCCAGAAAATTCCCACTCTGGCATATTTGTATGAATTGTGTGTGCCTTCGTTTCCTTCTATACTTTGCATTATTACTCAATGGGGGCAAAGGAGTTAACACTACTGCTGAAACTGCACAGGAGAATGTGCCACCTCACTGCCTGGGTGGAATGAACAGCATTCAGTAAGGAACTGTCTGAAACCAACCCAGATTAACTGGGTGTCCAGAGAGACAATTCCAGCTCCAATGACCTATGCATGGCCCTGCCTAGACAACAAAGGACGAAGAGGTGACCAGCAAGGGGCTCCTCCAAGAGACTGTTTAAAATCCAGGACTTAGCAGACCCTGTAGATCCGTGACAGTGACTCCAGTTTCTCTGGCAAGTGAATCTACTGTCCAGTAAGCCTCACTGTTAGAGTCCTTTGAGCGACTTCGCCCACTCTCCTCCTTGTTTGAGGCCATTACTTTTTGTTCTCCCCCTGTGAACTACTGAGGACATCAGCCCGGAGGCTTGTATGTTAAAACCTTGCAGGAGGAATAACGGTAGTTTGAATTAGGAGCTTTAATTCAAACTACCTAGTCTGTGCCGCATGTAGCCGCGGGCAGGTAGTTTGAACTACGGGCATTTAAAAATGGCGCCCACCGGGGAACATGCAAATGAAGCCCGGGATATTTAAATCCCAGGCTTCATTTGCAAGTTCGAATGCCTACATTAGCCACCCTAGTTTGAACTAGGGTGGCAGTGTAGACATACCCTTAGTGTTTAAAATGTTACCAGTTAACCCTGGAGCAGCCCCTCGCCCATGCACAGTGCAATGGGCCATGGCTGGAGGAGTGGCTGCTCCAGCCCTGCCACGGCCTCGGGTAGCAGGGGCTGCTCTGGGCCCAGCCCCCTGTGCGGGCGGTGGAGGTTGCTCCAACCACAGTGGCTGCTCCGATCACAGCCTTGCCCCTGCCCTGGACAGCTGGGGCTGCTCAGCCCCACGGTGGGCAGAGTCCAACCAGCCAGGCCAGTTAACTGGTTACCTGGTAAGCAGGCCAAAAAGCCATCTGCTTACCGGGTAACCAGTTAACCTCTTACATCCCTACAAGAAATCCTTTCCTTGGTCTTTGAAATGTGTTGCTGGGCAACTGGGAGACAAGCACCCACACCACAACCGTCTCTTTAGAGGTCACTCAGCGGAAAGGTCAAAGGCTGGATGAACCACAAAGACAGCGTCACCCCAAAAAAGGCATGGCTTGGCGTGCTCTCATTTCCCATTCGGGAACCAAGTTACCACCAATGGGTTCCGAGAGCCAGGAGCCATCTGCTCAAGATGAACTATCGCTATGAGGGAAGGGATACAGATGAAGCGAGGGCGCTTTACAGTGAAGAGGCAACGGGCTTCTGGAATATGGCAACGGCACTCAGAGTCTAAAGTAGAGAGGCAACCTCCCAACCTGGGACAGGAGATTTTGGAGGGCCAAGAAAAAGGCAGGGAAACACTCTCTCTCTCTCTCTCTCTCCTCTACTTTGCCTACCTTCCCTTGGATCTCTTTTACCTTGTTGCTACTCTGAGACCTGAAATCTTCTCCTAGCAGCCTCTGTCTCTCTGAATTCTTGCTCGTTGAGATGAACCTGGGCGGCTGGTACTTGCTGGCCTGTCTAAGCAGCAGCTGCAACACACAACTGCACTGTGTCCACACTCACCGAACCTAGTGTGGCTGTTCAGTCCCTGAAACTAAGCTAACACCATTAACAAGTCACAGTGCAAGGAAGCCAAGCAAAATGGGATACAAAGTCGAGGCAGATTCGGTAGCCAAGGGAAAGCCACTGGGGCCTCACGTGTAATTTCTCTGAACTGTTTGCAAGGTTAGGAGAGAGTCCCCATTGCAATACCAATCAACGTTACAAACACAAACAAGGGCAGAGCTAGGCAACTGCAGCCTCCCAGACCCCACCCAAATGACTCCAATCCCTGTCGAAAAGAGTCTTGTTGTGCCCCGTGAGATACAGAGACGCTCATTTGTATTCCAACAGGTGTGCTTAGTGGAAGCCCCGGGGTGAGCCCTCCAGACACCCAGCAGGAAGGCAGGGGCTGGGTATACTACCTGTGGAGTGGGTTCCACCGATGGCTGAAGGACGGCAGGCTGGGAAGGGCCAGTGGGTTGCGTCGCTGGAACCGTCTGAGCTCCATTTGTCTGGACAAAGAGAGTAAGACAGCAAATGAGCATTGGAGACATTGCTTCAATTGCCTCTAGAAATAGCTACCACCAAATGCCTTCAGGCGTGTGCCACAGGAGGCCAGGCCTGGAGAACCAGGAACACCAGGCATCATCCTTCACAAGTAGTTTTGTTTCTGGTCAGGCAACATCACCCTGCATCAGAGCACAAGATACAGCAGAACCTGAGCGTTACGAACTCCTCGGGAAGGGAGGTTGTTTAACTCGGAAACGTTCGCAACCCTGAACAAAAGGTGATGGTGCGTCTTTCGAGACGTTACAGCTGAACAGGGACTTAATGCAGCTTTGAAACTGTCCTGCGCAGAAGAAAAACGCTGCTTTCCCTTTGATTTAGTCGTTTACTGTACAGTATTAGCTTTTTTGCATCTCTGCTGCTGCCTGATTGCTTACTTCTGGTTCCAAATGAGGCGTGTGGTTGATTGGCCAGGTCCTAACTCTGATGTTCATAAGGCTGAAGTTCTGCTGTACGGAGACAGACACCTTCCAAATGTTATCGGTACCATCACGTCACATGCTAGCGGGGAGGTAAACGGTGCTCTGATCTAGTCTTTGAACAGCGACTACGGTTTTCCCTAGTTTCCTGCTTGCCACTCTACACCCCACAACTGCAATGGCGCTGCTCAGTGCTGCTCTTAAGCACTGCACTAACGTGGATATCACAGCGGTAATCCCTCTCCTAACAGCTGAGTGGCAGAGTTGGGGGTTCTCACAGTGTGCTGGTCTCCAGATGCTAGTCCTGGCCAGGCTGGAGAGGGATGGGACTTCCTCTTCTTCCTATGCGGGGGGACATCTCCAGGGCCAAGTCACCGCCAGCTCCAGAAGCCTCCCCTGGCTGCAGCTGCTGGCTGGGAGCCCAGCTCGAAGGAAGCACCGTTGCCAGCAGTGCAGAAGTAGGGGTGGCAATATCACGAGCCCCCTACAATAGTCTTGTGATGCTCCCTATGGCTCCCCCTTTGGGTCAGGACGCTCACAGTCAAAACAATATGATAGTTCAGATTTGAATATCCGAAACAGTGAAATTTATGATTTTAAAAACCATGACATTGACTGGGTATAGATTTGGTAGGACCGTACTTATGTCCCTTGGCACGAGGCTTCTGTTTCACACTTTGGGACTGCTGTGGCCATGAACTCAAGGAAGGTTGGGCAGTGACTGTAGAATTCCTGCAGGGAGATCACTAGTGCGCTGATCTGGGGTCTCAGGAGAAGTGTGTTGTGGCTGTAACAGGTCACTGACCACTTGGGACAAGTCTATGCATGCCTCATTCATTGTATATAGTTTCCTCTGCCAAGGGACCCACCCATCTATTACAACAGGCATGTAGCTATTTGGTGCAATCACATAAGCCACATACCAGCCGGGAGTTCTCAGAGAAAGGATTAAATTCATTCAAGGTGCCTTGGCTAGCATTTGTCAGCTGTGTCACTGAAGGATCCTGAAAGAGAAAGAGGAAGGGTGTTTAAGATATAGGTAGGAGTTAAAAGAAAACAAGAGAGACAGACTCTACAGAACTTGTTCTGCATGTTCCTTACATTTATTAAACAAAACCAATGACTTCAGAAAGCAAAGGGAATGTCTTCACTACAGGCTGGATCAACCGGCGATCGATTGAGTGGGGGGGAGAGGGGAGGTCAATTCATCACATCTAGTATAAGTATGCAGACTTCTGCTACCTTATTCACATAGCTGAAGTTACGTAACTTAAGTCAATGCTGCAAAAGTAGCATAGACCAGGCCTTAGCGAAACTGAGGCACACAGAGATAAATTTGCTTGAGATCAAAGAGTCTTCAGCGCACCTGGAACTAGGACTCAGATTTCCTCTCTTCCCTGAGTTTTACTCCCTAGACATCAGCTACCTGATGCCTTTTGAAAAGCTGAAGAAGCATGCTGAGATGAGGCTGCAGTCTGCCTTCACAGAAGGCTCCAGTATTCTCCAGATGACAGTTTCACTCAAGTACAGCAGTAATTGACCAGGCTGCTAGGTAGAAAGGTTTGCTAGCTGGGAGACATCAGCTACCACAAACTGCTTTCATGCAGCCCTCTGGACTACCAAACTATCACCCCAAGCAGCCATTCTGACAAGGCATCAAAGCTATGAAGAGGGAGACTGTGGTTTCAGGTTAATTGATCACACACTATAATGCTTGCAGATTTAAACCCAAATTTCAGTGGGAGCCTCAGCTTTTTCCTCCACTCAGTGCCAGGCTCCCATAATCTTACCGCTATAAAAAAGCTCCCTGTATCTCTTCTGAAGACAACTGTCTGCCTCCCTCTGTCGAGCATTATTTAACTCACGTGTCATGGGCTGGAGCTTGTATGAAAGATGGAACACAAGGTGGAGTGGGACTTTACTGAAGGCTCTCCCTTTAATAGCCAGACCTGCTATTGCTGACTCTGAAGCATTCTCTCCCCCAAAGGCAAAATGAGGTACAGTGGCTTCTCTGTAGAAGCCATGCTCACAAACTGAACAGCCAGGTAATTTTACCTCCGGAGTTCTGCTTAAGCAAGGTGCTGTCTCCTCTCCAGCAGCCAATGTATCTGTCAGCACAAGCCATTTTATTTTTGCTGTTAATGAGGCAAAAGATAATTGTATGGCAGGGCAGAGAGGAGGAAGTGCAGATTCAGATGTAAAAGTTGGTCAAGTTTCCTGTTGGGTAAGCAGCATAAAAGCTCTCAGAGCCATAAACCCCGAGAAAGCCAATTGGCTTGCCTCAAACATGCTACTAGTAGGTCTCTTGGCTTCCAGCACAACTTTCTGATCAAATACGGATCAAACGTGTGCTCAGTTTAATGAGTAACTTTAGGTATCCCAAAAGATTAGACACTCCCTAACTGGTTATACAAGTTTATGAATCACTCCAGGATGAAGACTCAGGAAACAGGTGCAGGTTCTCAGATGCTGAATTGATTCGCCAGGCAGAGTAGGGTTGCAGAAACATACCAGCAATTCTGCAGGCAGGGAATTCCCAGAACAAAGGGTGCATATCCTACTCCACCACTTCATCCACAGGATGAAGCACATGTATACCTCTGGAATAAAAGCACCAGTTTAACCAGGTGTCGTCAATCTGCCTTCACTGGATTCAATCAGAAATGCCCTGAGAACTGGAAGAGCTGGGGGAAGGATGGAGCCTAAGTCCTCAATTTCTGCAGAATTTTGTCTTTATAAAACCAAAGATTCAATTCCTATTCCTTTGTAACCCTAAGAAAGCTTTCCACACATGAACTCTGACCATGCATCTGACGAAGTGGGTCTTTGCCCACAAAAGCTTATGCTCCAATAAATCTGTTAGTCTATAAGGTGCCACAGGACTTTTCATTCAAGGGACCTCGAGAGGTCATCGAGTCCAGCCCCCTGCCCTCAAGGCAGGACCAAGCTCCGTCTACACCAGTGGTCCCCAACCTTTTGAGCTTTCCACACATGAACTCTGACCATGCATCTGACGAAGTGGGTCTTTGCCCACAAAAGCTTATGCTCCAATAAATCTGTTAGTCTATAAGGTGCCACAGGACTTTTCATTCAAGGGACCTCGAGAGGTCATCGAGTCCAGCCCCCTGCCCTCAAGGCAGGACCAAGCTCCGTCTACACCAGTGGTCCCCAACCTTTTGAGGTTGTCGGGCGCCAGGGGGCGTGGCTGTTTGCCCGCCGGGCGCCAGGGGGCAAAACCGCTATCATGTCCCCCCTTAATCTTCTTTTTTCCAAACTAAACAAGCCCAGTTCATGAAGCCTGGCTTCATAGGTCATGTTCTCTAGACCTTTAATCATTCTTGTCGCTCTTCTCTGTACCCTTTCCAATTTCTCCACATCTTTCTTGAAATGTGGTGCCCAGAACTGGACACAATATACAATACTCCAACTGAAAAGAAGAGTAGAGCAGAAGAATGCCTTCTCATGTCTTAGAATCTTAGAATCATAGAATAATAGGACTGGAAGGGACCTTGAGAGGTCATCGAGTCCAGCCCTCCGCCCTCAAGGCAGGACCAAGCTCTGTCTACACCATCCCTGACAGATGTCTATCTAACCTGTTCTTAAATATCTCCAGAGAGGGAGATTCCACCACCTCCCTTGGCAATTTATTCCAATATTTGACCACCCTGACAGTTAGGATTTTTTTCTTGAGGGCACCGTGTCTTGTCTACATTAGACTTTTAAAAACTGTTCGCTAGAACATGGTAGCTATGTGCTAATCCAACACTAACTAACTGCAAGGTCCAACAGATGACTACCACATCAGGAACAAATAAGAAGTTATAAGAGCATGGGAGGGTAAGGCTGTTCAAAGAACATGAGTTATCCAACTGGAAAAAGCTCCCTATCTCAGAAGCTTTAGCTGGGCAGTAAAAAAGTGTTGGGTTTCCTGTGAGTAGGGAAGTGAGCAGGGGAGGGTGGGGAGCCTCCCTGCCTGTGATTTGTACCAGGACTGCTTGCTCTTCCCCTTCCTGTCCCTGTCAAGGAGTGAGAGCAAAGTGCACTGCTTAGCTCTCTTTGCAGCTCTGTTCCCTGTGACCCCCAGCCAGAGTAAGGAATGCAGCAAAGTTTGCACTTTCCCCTCACTCCCTGATGAAGAACAGTCAGCAATGTCATGGTATGAATCGGAGGGGGGGGGAGCTTCAGCCCTCCCCCCTCCCTAAAGGGCACCTGGGGGTAGGAGGCAGCCAGCCCCTTTCACCTGCCTGGTGAGTGTGTCTTTTTCTGTATGGTTTTATGAGAAGCAATCCCATTCCAGGTACATCCCATTTTCCTGGCACAACCAGACCCTGACCTTGCCTGGCTGATTTACAACAAACTGCAAAGTGTTTGGAACACATCTAGCCACCCTGTTGGATTTTAGGGGATAAAAGCTATCAGGCAGAAGATACCATTGAGGGCACTGGCTCATATAAACCTAAAGCACATGGCACAGTGGAGCTTTGCTAAATCCTACTGAAAGCATGAGTTATATACACAGGGGGTCCCAAACTGTGGGGTCTCAGTCTGATGTTCCATCAATTCACCTGACAATTTTGAAAGTGGTATGTATACCAATAAAGCGTGGCAGCTGCTAATTTAGCAAGCCCTTTCTAGAAGCCATAGTAAGCTAATCCCTAGAGTTCACATCCAAAAGATGAAATGCTTGGTAACTCCCAAAAAGTACAAGAAAAATGGATAATATCCATGGTTTGAAGTGTGAGTAAGATCTTGACATTCTTCACATGCTGCTCATGTGAAATGCATGGAAGCAAAAAAGTCATGTTGTTCACAAGAAGAACATTAGACGATTGCTCCGTGAGATGCAAAGAGGAGACTTTGAAAAGTCATTGAGTCAAGTCCAGTCTCCTGCCTTCACAGCAGGGCCAAGTACCATCCCTGACAGATTTGCCCCACATCTCTAAATGGCCCCCTTAAGGACTGAACTCACAACCCTGGGTTTAGCAGGCCAATGCTCAAACCACTGAGCTATCCCTTACCTCCTAATTTTAACATCTTAAATCATGCTGCAGTTTGCAAGCCCAAAATGACCTTGATCTTGTCCCAAACTCTAACCCCACAGATTAAAAAGCTTGTACACAATCAGTTGCAGGCTCTGTTTGTATTTTAAAGGCCAGCAGCTCAAATACACACAAAAAAGCTTGTTTTATTCCTGTGCAAGCTGATGGATCCATCATGTTTGTGCAAGATAGTAAACTTGTATTCTCCTCTGCTAAGACCTGGAATCTGGGCCAGCTGATAAAATCGTACAGGCAATAAAATCATTTGAGTTATGGAGACCAAGGCAGAAGAGCTCACATCTCAGCTGACTGGCTGGAATGCAGAGGCGTTGGTTTCAAAGACAGCGCCACATTAGTCTGGTTTAGCAAAACAGTGAGGAGTCCTGTGACACCTTAAAAGCTAACAAATTTATTAGGGCATAAGGGTTTATTAAGGTTTATGGGGCTGCAGCTCACTATCAGATGCATAAAGTAGAAGCTTCAGTTGGCAGGGATTATACTTACATCAGTACTAACGAGGCTAATTGAAACAGGGTGGATGTGGCCCACGTCTAACAGTGATAAGAATAACAGTAGGCCTGTGGTACCTTAGAAACTAACAAAAACATATATAATATCATGAGCTTTTGTGGGCAAAACCCACTTCTTCAGGGCAAAAGTACTTAAGTAGACAGTGTATAAGTTCATGTACAGGCAAAATCCTCCTCATGCAGGTATTGACCGCGGCATCAGTCAATCTTGCATTTACTAGTCTGTATTTCAAAAGATTATTCCTCAATTTATTTTGGACTCTTGGGTTTAGCTTCCATTATACAGCCAATAAACATGATATTAGTTATTGACATTTAAAATGTATTATAATTTAAAATGTTGCTCTATATGCCCCAAAAGATGACAAAGACTACAAGCTCTTATCTACCCGTGAGGCAAACGTGCTACTCTGGAGGGATCTGCCATGAATACTGGTTGCCAGGGCAATTAGAAAAAGCCATTCTGTTGTCATTTATGTGGAATATACCCCAGAAACAGTCAAGACTTCAAGAGATCAAATCAAGCATGTCTGTGAGTGTACTGCACATTTCACGATTAGCATGATCAGTAACATGAATGAAATCTCCTACTTTTCCAGGAGAAGACACCCAAGGGTTTGCAAGTGCTAGATGGAATCAGAGCAACAGAGTCTTAAACTGGACTCGTGTGGCCCAAAATGTATCCTTTGTGTGACAAACCCCCAAAAGTAAACATACTGCTGGGGCTTCAGGGACAAAGCAGCAGATAATTTGGGACTGTGTCCCCAAAGCTGCTATCAGGCAATCATCCACCATATACCTGGTTTCAATCCTTTGAATTCACATACTGGCTAAGAGATTAAAAGAATTGGCCCATAATGCAATATGTGAATTGTTAAAATGCCAAAGGGACTGGTGCTATTCTTCATAATACCATGATCTAGATTTCAAATCAGATGGACAATGTCTGTAGCTGTTTGCAGTGTTGTGGTTTGTCCCAGGTTATTAAATAGATAAGGTAGATGAGGTAATAGCTTTCACTGGACAGACTTCTAGAGATGAAAGACACAAGTTTTCAAGCTATACAGAGCTCTTCTTCAAGGTCTGTGCTCTGTGTAGCTCCAAAGCCTGACTCTTTCACCAACAGAAGCTGATCCAATGAAAGATACTACACCTTACCCACCATGTCTTTCTAATGCCTATAGAGTTATTTAGCCATTAGCGTTTTTACTTGAAGTTGAAATAAATTACATAATCTCACTTCTAAGTCCATCAGACTGCTGGTAGCAGTGGCATTTTCATCAATATTAAAGCAACACAAAACTGAACATAAATCCAAGTGAGAATCAAGCACTTTAGAAAACAGATCATGAATTTGTAGAGTCCTGCAATCTCATGGATATCTGCTCTATATCTATGGGTATCCACAGCTCATTTTTGCAGATATAGATGTGGAATCAAATTTTGTATCTAGAGGTCTGCAAATTTGCAGATATTTGCTTTATATCTGTGGGTATCTGCAGATGCGATGCGGATATCCACAGTTCATTTTTGCAGCTGTGGATACAAATTTCGTAACCACACAAGACTCTACAAATCTGATGTCTTAGGTGCCAGTGAACAAGCAATTAGAATCTTTTCCCTCAGTTTGCTCATTACATTAGCTGTCCAGAAAAAAAAATCATACTAGACTAGTCACTTAAAACAGAACTGCTCCTCCTGCCCCAAAGAAGCCTCATGGCGGATTAATAAAAATGAACCCCACTGGAAAAGCACACAACTGAAGTTATCTTTGACTGCAGGGAGAGAAGAATGTAAGAAACTGAAGTTATTCAGCAAGAATGGAAAGCATTCCTTTGGCAGATACCCAGCACACATTCACACACCTCTGACTTCTCTAACCGGCTTAACTTGGATTAAGTTAGAAAACTGCCACTCGGTTCTAGATTACATATGATCTTTCTGTTCGAACAAAGAGTTTGCTCCTCCATTTCCTCAATGATTCTGTGGCAGCATGATGATGCACAAATCCAAGTATTTACGCAAGTGAACGATATCTGTATTTTCAAGAAACTTAGTGTGGATGATAAAGGTGATTAAAAAAATAAGAAGCCACTTCCAGGTCCCAAACACACCCTAGCAAATATTTCTGTTTCCACTTAGGTATGCACATGATATTTTTGTTTCCTAATGCCCTTGGGTTTCTAATGAACTCAAAATCTTTTGTTAAGATTTTAACTATTAATGTTTTTGGAACTCTCCACCAACTCCTAAGGTAGCGCACACACAGACATCAAGTATAGAAAGACTCCAGGCAACATCTAGAGTGTGTGCAGGATTCCAGAATACCTCTGAAAGAAATCCTCTCTCAAGCGACCAGAGCAGCCAAACCAATCAGAGTCTGCATGTAACTCTGTGTGCTGAGTAGTATCGCCAGAAGATAGGGAGCCCTAGTGTACATGGACATAATATTGCACAAATTAACATAGAATGTGAAACAAACCAACAGTAGTTATCTTGCAGAACAGCAATGCAATTGACAGGAATATGTAACACACCTACATTCTCTCTGGACACATGCAATCCAGAGTTGATAGAGCTGCTTTATACTGTATCTTGGTATCTGACATTACATCATGTACACCCAGAGAGATTTTAATATTTAATTCACAAGTCAAAGTAAGTTCTGCAGAACAAAAGCATTGTGCTCTATGAACCAAGAGCATGGTGTGCACATTTACCACAAGAATATACATGTGGATGGAGCAATGCTGTTAACTCTGAGTCTCAGTACTTCACCCAATACCATCCCATAACCGACTCCCATTCACTTGTGTGCACGCACACACTCCGTTGGCCTGGTTCTCCTCTCATTCACACTGCTGTGTACACTCCACAATGTAGAACTGGTTACAGTGAGTGGGGAAATGGTACAAGCAGTCTACCACAGACCTTGACCAGTTACAAACTGAATAAGTTGGAGGCAGCCACTGGCTGGTATAGTCAGCCTATTGTCCTAGTAAGTGGAAACAGATGCTCAATCTTCCAGCTTTTGCGGAAAAACTTGCCAGCTGTCTACACTGGCCACTTGAATTTCTGCAAGAACACAACTTCCTACTGTCTGAAATCAGTGCTTCTTGCGGAAATACTATGCTGCTCCCGTTCAGGCAAAAGTCCTTTTGCGCAAAGCTTTTGCGCAAAAGGGCCAGTGTAGACAACTCAGATTTGTTTTGCGCAAAAGCGCGTCTAGATTGGACCATAGGTTTTGTGGAAAAGCGTCCGTGCCAATCTAGACGCTCTTTTCCGCAAATGCTTTTAACGGAAAATTTTTCCGTTAAAAGCATTTACGGAAAAACATGCCAGTCTAGATGTAGCCAACAAGTTGTTTTTGGGTGGGGGGGGGAGGTCGGGGAGGGGGTATGAGGGTTTCTCAAAAATCAAAAAGGGGGCAAGATGCCAAAAACGTTGAGACCCACTGATTTAGACGGTAAACTTTTTGGAATAGAGAACCCACACACTCAGTGTGGTTCATTGTCCCATGTAGTGGCACTTAGACCTCTTACAGACAGAGCTAAGAACAAGGGAGCTCCTTGGGACAATGAGCCACACTAGGTGTGTGGGTTATAGATACATAACACCCAGCACAATGGGGGCTCTCCTCACATCTAGGGGGCTACAAATACACGCGCTCACATGGTCATTTAGATCAGCTGTTTGCAAACGTTTTGGCCATCTGTAGGTGCAGATCTATCCAAGGCCTAATCCTGCTCTCCCTATGGGCGGTTGCAACACGCAGAAAGCCAGCAGGCGCTCGTCACTGGGGCAGGCAATGCCTGCTTCCCCCGTGCTCTGAGCATGCCCTGACCCAGCAGGACGCTGCTCCACGTAGCATCTCCTGGTTAGGGCTGCGCTGTTTGCAAACGTTTTGGCCATCTGTAGGTGCAGATCTATCCAAGGCCTAATCCTGCTCTCCCTATGGGCGGTTGCAACACGCAGAAAGCCAGCAGGCGCTCGTCACTGGGGCAGGCAATGCCTGCTTCCCCCGTGCTCTGAGCATGCCCTGACCCAGCAGGACGCTGCTCCACGTAGCATCTCCTGGTTAGGGCTGCAGAAAGGGAGGGTTCGGGGGGAACTAGAGGCCGCCGCCGAGCAGCTCACTCGGGGCAGGGGTGGCGCTGGG